CGGCGGCGGTCCGACGTGGCGGCGGAGATCCCGGCGCGGCGTGGGTGGACGACTGGACGACGGCGTTGCCGTTGGCGGCGGGGTGGCGCGGCGGCGCGGCTTGATCCAGCCCGCTCGGCCCAGATCTGGGCCCTTCGGGCCCCATCTGGGTTTGGGCGGGCCGGCAGCGAGACGGGCCGGCGGCGTGGCCTCCAGGAGGCGGGAGAGCGGCATTGACGAGTGGGAGTGGGCGACGTAGGTGCCGGCTTGCTGCAACATGGCCAGCGGGGCTTTGCGGGTCCGTTGTGGACCTGGCCGGGCCAGGGGTGGCCTGGTGTGCCCTGCTGCCACGTTCGGTCGGCGATCACGACGTCGCCGGGGGCTCGGGCCTCCCGCACGTCGGCGGGGGAGGTGGTTCCCTCCCGCTTGGCTTCGGTGTGGTTCCTCCCGTCGCTTGGTGCTTCTTTCCGGCCTCCTTGGCCTCGTGGTGGTGTTCGCAGCGGGGCGGCGTGGATGTGTCCAAGACCGTGGTGGCGCGTGCTTGCGGGTGGCTTGATGGCCCCGGTTCGAGTGGGTAGCGGTGCTTGGGGATGCGGGAGAAATCTCTGCCGGTTCTTCCGGCTCCGATGCGGTGACACCTGAGGATGCCATCATTCCTTCTTGAAGGGTGTCGGCGCTACCCATCCCCCGCTCCCCTCCGTATGCCGGGGGAAACCCTAGGACACTTCCGGGCAGCAGCGGCGTTGGCGTCGCATTCCTTCTTGGAGGTGCTGCTTGGTATGCAACGGACCGGTGCCATGGCGTGTGGTGGGACATGGATGGAGGGCGCAGCGGTGGCGGATCATCTGTGCTTTCCGAGCTGCCGTTGTTGGCTTTTATTTCTTCTTCTTTTTCCCTTTTGGGCTTGTTGTGCCGTTCGCCCCGACAGTTGCCCCGACAGTTACCCTGTGATCGGTGTCTGGTGCTTTATAATATAAAGCGGGGGAAACCCTTTTTGGGTAAAAGGAACTGACAACAAGGTTTCAAAAATAGAGCATTGTACGACACACATAGTTCAAACAGTGATAAGAAACACAGTGCGCAAGCCGTGGTCCTCGAACATGTAGTTCCTGCGCAACTCTTAGTCGGCCGTCGTCCAGGTGGATCGTCAACAACAACATGGGCAAGGCGCAACCCGCCGCCCTGACACTTCCAGAACGCCGCCGACGTTGATGGCGATGTGGTGGCCACGGATCTGGACAGAGAAGCGCCTAATATAAAACACTCTTCCGTAAGTTTTTGAGTTGGAGATGAAGAAACATGTGTAAACAAAACATATTGTCCTAAGCTTTGGCCCATTGGGCGAATCCTTGATGGTATTGGCTCATAGGCTAAATTGTACTGCAGATTGATCAAAGTAATAGGAGCACATGACGTTCTTAAATTTCAACTGCTTTGCCTCAATTCCCTTATTATGTATCTCCTACCAAGCATGGGACATCCAGTTTATATACTAAACTAATAAGATTGAATAATCCATAAAGTAGATGAATGGAAATGCAAGCAAGAGGGGAAACCCTGGAAATATGATTTGGCAGATGGAATAGGTGCATGATCCATACAATGGACAGCTAGGCGTGAGCCAAAAATAAGTTTTGTCTCTTATGTGGGTACAGCCGCCTGGCATGCATATACTGAAAAGCGATAAAACTGGAGCATATCTGAAACCCATAATTCGTTTTAGATGATACCTTTGCATATAGTAGTGAAGCAAGCTGATAAAATTTGTATGGTTTGTGCAGGAAAAACATGCGACTGGAAAACAATATCATGTGGTTTACCTGCAAAATTATAGCATGAGTTAGCTCCAAAGCATTGAAAATTTCAAAGCAATTTCCAGGTACAATTACTTCATTGTTGATAAAGGTCGGCCTCCATGAAACACCACAGTTTGATGATAATTTCCTAGTCCTTGCTTCCTTTGAGGTTTCCATTCTTAATGGTACTATTAAACAAGTGCGCAAATGTAGCTATCACTATCGGTAGATTGGGATGATACAAAAGAACATGAATACAAGAAATTAGCTACACACAGACATTCAGGTATTCAGACACAACATATGCATCTGAAAAATAATTCACCCAAACCTAAAAACTGAAGCATAAAACCTACAATTAATGAGATAAAAATGGAGAAATGAAAACAACATTCTTCAAAAGAAAATCATCTCAATTTCTAAGAAATCATCGTTATTTAGGAAATAAATATATGCAATGTATATATACCTACTTAATAAATATTTGAGCAATTGCAATACACTCAATTTGTTCTGCTTTGAAATGCACTGGTATGCTGAGAAAAAAACTTGGTAGGTGACGGTTAGTAAAAATGGCTGAGACGGGAGATAGATGCACCAGAGTAAGACTTATACAGGTGTGAACAGCAAACAAACATAGCTAATATCATGTAGTCATGCACAACTCGGTCCATTCCAAGATGCCTTATGGTGCTTAGAAATTACATATTCATCAAACAGATACAAAATAATGCAAGGCAGAACATGAGGTGACGATCACAGAACTTAACCTGAATAACTGGATCTAACATTTCATACATTACACTACATTATGCAATAACTCACACTACCAGATGGTAGTCTCCAACAAATTAAAACTGGTGGGCAGAACATGAGGTGACGATCACAGAACTTAACCTGAATAACTGGATCTAACATTTCATACATTACACTACATTATGCAATAACTCACACTACCAGATGGTAGTCTCCAACAAATTAAAACTGGTGCGCCATCCCAAGAGGCCTTGTAGACAAAGCATATATATTGTTCAAAGCAAAGCATGGGGTAACATATTACTACTCAGCAGTCATCAAACTCAGGCACATGATTCAGGGAATCAATAAACAGCGGGGTGGCTCATAACTCGATGAAGCCAATGTCCTCGGCGTTGGTGCGGAAGCAATGCCTGCAGCACACCCGTACTTCCGGATCAGGCCATGCGAGTTGCCGCAGACACGGGATACTCATTCATCAGATCGCACTCATGGAAATTCGAGAGTATATGAGAACAAACAATAATCAGAAACCAAGAGGGGCAGTGAATCCAGAGAAAGGCAATGGAGATGGGCATACCTGGGCGTGGCGGAACCCACAGTAGCTGAAGGTGGCAGCCATAACACCAATGCAATACAGTCATAATAGTAACCATTTCGTTTGCAAGTCGACCCACCATCCTCATCGTCGACAATGTTGACGCGCTCACACTTGTCGACCTATTCACTGTATCTGCAGGAAAAGGAATTCAATCCTTAGTTCCAGGTCCGGATAAGCCTAACGTAGTTGCACCAACTCTATAGAGTAAAGATTTCTTCGTTGGATTCAAATTACATATCAATAGGCTTAGTCAGCGCTGCACCAAAGAAAACAGATGATCAGTACAACATACTGAATACATGTAGCTCATCGAGGGTAAACCTCTACTTAAGACTATTCCATTTACATGCCATAGTTATACACAAACTTCAACACATGTGGCTCAACAAAGTCTAACCTCTACAGCACTATATTTCCTTTAAACGATATTTTTATACAGGTTCAGTTTTGAACTTCTGACGATGTAGGTTTGTTTCAAGCAATCAAGTTAACTCAAGACCTGGACATGATAAAATAGGGAGCCACATGACCTGCCTTACAGACATGATGGTGTGATTTAATGGCAACCAAGCAAGCATATAACTGTACATGATTACTACCTCGGCTCTGCTCCATTATGACCTAGTTGATTAGAGTGACTGAACACCCAAGAGTATATGAACACCCAAGAGTATATAAGACGGGCATGGCTGTAGGAAATTTATGGATATGCTATACCCTGTTCCTAGAACTGTAACCATTAGGTTGAGAAGAAACAAAAACAATGAGATGTCTGGTGTGGAATTTCTAGCCGAGAATCACAATCAGTATGACATCTGCATTAGGAAGTAAAATCTGCAATTCTATGTATCATTTGGGCATACGTTAGCTTTCATGGCAAAGGTTGTCCCTCATAAACTCATGTGATGAACTGAACTTTGATTACAGTTTAAGCTCAGCAATGTGTAGCAGTTAGCCAGTTACAGGACCATTAGTGGTAATGTACATTCATAAAATAAATCAAAGATAAGGTCCAATCACATAAATCCGCAGAAATATAAAACCTACAGAAAGATATAAAAATAATAATTATCACACAGCAGTTATGATCTATCTTCTTGAAAACAAAAATACATGGATCATCTTATTTCCTCATATTTAGTACAGAACACGATGGGAGATAATTGAGCAGCACACCAACACAACAAGTGTCAAAATTATATTTATTGGATGCAAGTGAAACTAAAAGACATGGGCATGCATCGAAGTTGTTTGTTTGTTTACTAGACTTTAAAGCAACACAGATTATTTTGGTCAAATAGACAAACAGACAGATTTCTTGGATCTGAGGCTAGAGCAACGACCAAACAGACATCATATAAGCGACTAAATATATAACACTAGCAAGCTGCATAATATTTAACATGATAGAGTTAAATAAGAAAAATCTAAGGGAGCAGATGGTGCCTAAATCACGCGGGCTTCCTTTGGTGGAAAATTGCCGGTTATCAGCTATTTGTTTTGACACATTTCCAGGGAACTCTGTTCGTAACAGACATAGTAAGTTGAATCTATGCCCTTTACCTACAGCAAGTAAATATTGAAAATGACTCATAGAAAGGTATCCTCGTTGTTGCTTGTCCTTCTTGCTGTTGCTACTGGTCTTGGCCATAGAGGCATCGGAGTACAAAAATTTGGTAAGTAAAGGTGCAAGTGCTCCCTCAGATTACTTTCGACAGGAAACAGTTCATACAAGAACTGAAACAATCACAATAATGAGAGTTAAACTCAAGATGAATAAGCATCGGACTGTTTGTTATGTACACAAAGTTAACATGCCACCTTCTTATAAAAGCTGTGGTTCATGAACAAGAATAACAACTTTGCCATGTTGGTCATACTGTGGTCGGCCTGCACGACCCATCATTTGCAGAATATCTGTGATAACATAATCAACATATCTTTTTGTTTTCTCACCATAGTATTCAGTACCCCACAAAAGAATGGAGTAAGTGCTCAGATAAATGACCGTCGAAGATGAGGAAAATGTGAAGCATCATGTCACCTTGATTATGAAAAGGTGAGATGGAAGATTGACACCCCAAGCCAGTGTGCTAGTGCATATCAATACCTGCCAAAACAATAAATTATGTTTACATTTTGCTCAACTATGTGACCAAGTTGAGATAAAATAGACTGCAATGACCATACTCAAGTGTAGCAAAGAACATGTTATCAATGAAGAGCACACCTGAATCTTGTTGTTTGAAAAGAGTTCCTCGACCAAGGATCTATCTCTAACATTTAGACCTCCATGATGCAGACTTATTTCAAACTGAGGCATGACTCAAATTGCTATCAGTGACTTGTGAAAGAATTATGTCTAGAGAGTTATCTGCCAGGCCGAGGAACTACCTTGGTTTCTCATCGGATGCTGCAAGCTGCAATATAGAGTAGGTGAGGGCAGATGGAGGCTTCTCCCGTCGTCATGGCTCGGCGGGAAGCTCAGCAGTATATGCTGTAGGTGAGGAGGAACCAATGGGGGCTCTCGAGCTTCGTCTTTGTTTCCAGGGATAGGGTTGCTGTAGCTTGAGTCTGGTGATGATGGGACTTCAAATCCAACAACCTGCACCCCTTCCTGCACCCATATTATGTATGTTAACCACCCATCATCATAAATACAAACATGATAGAGACAGCAGTTTAGAAAAGAAAGAAAGCGGTCAATGTACTTACATGGTCATCCCTGCCTTGTCGGTGCTCCATATTGCTGCAAGACTCTGTTCTGTTGCCTATCCTCATAAACGAGTATATGAAAAACGTTGGCGTGAGTAATTAATTTTAGTAGCTTGTGTGCAGTGCAAGTTGAAAAAAAAACAAGAGCTGTCGTAACTTACAGATAACAACTATAAATCACATATAAGAATCATTCACTGAACGAAGTTTGCATATTTTGTATTTGTATCATGCACTACATGCAAAAGAAACTGTTGATTTTTGCATGAACCAAATGGATATGAGATACCATAGAAAACAAAAGCTAGCAGTAAAGTAATTACACATTTAACCGACGGAATTTTCCCAGCAAGTAGATTTGTTATCAAACTGCTCTGCTCCAACAGAGAGTGAGAGAGCATGACGGTATGCTAACCGATTTCAGTATAACAAATGATTATACTGACAAAGTGGCAAAGATCTCAACTACATAAATGATTTCAAACAGAGTAGCTCGGCCTGAGGTAAATAGTTGCAACTACAACGGAATCAATGCAAGTCAACAGAAAATGAAACAATACAAGAAGGCAACTTGATTATTGTTGCAGCAAAAATAATTAACAATAAACTGTTAAAACTCACTCTTAACGATATTATTCATTCGGATATAAACTAAGAAAACCCCTAACTTCCACAGTGGCATGCCGCCTTATCAAACTCTTTTCCTCCTATCCTTACTGGCTTAGCATGGCATAGAGATATCTACCATAACCTATTTATTTTGTTGGTAAGAAAGCCAAACTTGCTATAAATATTTTTGCTCTGATCTGGTTCTGCAAACAATGAATCGATATCTTCATTGCATAATACTACATCCATCTGTGTTGAATTGTCCATTTCCTAATAAAAAAGATCACCGGTACTCCGCTGTATCCTGAATATAATGTGCTATGTAAATAAAGGTGCATCCCACCACTCCACGCAGCCTGAACAGCTGTGCTCATTTGGCTTCCCAATTTCCCCACACCGTAGCTGCATAGCATAGTACGTAGTTAGGCCTGTCGGATCAGAACAGACGACCAGATTGGTAGCATCGGCAGGTCGTTTTGCTGCAGCTTCATGTCAAAGAAGCAGCAAGGACAAGTATTTTGGGACCTCAACCCAGGGTCTTGGCTACAGTTTAATATTACAGGGGCTCGGAACTTTACTGTCAAATAGTTTCAAACAAATCAAGAAATTCAAAATCTTAAGTCAAGAAAGAACTTGAGGGCTTAACAGAAGAACAGAACAACACTCCCAACGTAGGGGTTGGAGACCTGCTCCTTGGATTGACCCTTGAGGGTCTAAAAAGTTGATGCTACATTTATCATTATTATCATTATTACTACCAGTAGATGGGATCAAATGCCAGCTTCAGAAATTGTGTCGCATACACACTGCTAGAGAGAAAACCGATGCACAACTAGGATTCGAACCCGTGACCACTGACCACTTCGGTGTTAAACAGGGGCGGAGACAGTTAAGGTCATGGGTACATATGTACATTATTTTTGGAAAAAAAGAACTTAGAGCTCTGAGTTAACCCAATATTTATTTAGTAAAACATTAAGTTTCAAGCTACCTGTACACACAATGGAGGGAGTATAAGATAGTGGCCAGCTATATACTTGCTTAGTGACAGAAAAACAGAGCAGCATTCCACCTGAATTGGATCAAGATGAAAAGAAAACAAGAATCACATATTAGGAAACTAAAACGTGAGTGCGTGTGTGTGTGTGTGCGAAAATGCTAGACCTACGAAAGAGGATACGTAAGGCTACGAAAGGTTCCAAACTAATCTAAACATCCTCCCCCCCCCCCCCCCCCCCTGATTTTCAGGGGGGTGGGCCCCTCACTTCCTAAACAACAATATAATTCTTCCATGTTGGCTGGTATCGTAAACTTAAGTAGGTCCTTTACGTAGGTGCAGCATTGCTCGTGTGTGTGTGTGTGAGAGAGAGAGAGAGAGAGAGATGAGCACCTAGTTCAGATTGTCGTGGGGTAGCCATCTGTTGACGGCATCCATGTGCACCTCGTTGGTGCTTGACCTTCTTGCCGCTGCTACAGTGCTACTGGTTTTGGCATCGGAGTGAGGGGAGGAAGAACGGGACGGACCCCAACAGAAGTCATGGATGGGCGTTCGCGGCTTGGCCTAGCCAGCCACCGCCACGTCTCCCCCTCCCTTCCCCTACGATGGCGTGCTCCACGCCGGTTTCCTGTTCGGAGGCTCGCGGACGAGCGTCTCCGGCGGCCCTCCCCTTCCCTGCAGAGCCATGACGCTGCTCCTCCCTGTCCCTGTCGTTGCCCTCTCCTCCACTCCGTGAGGCGTCCGCCGCCTGGGTCTTCGGCCTCCCTGCTCCACCCCCTTCCATCTACACCCCCCGCCGCGCCGGCGTCCAAAACGGCCCCTGTGCCGGCAACAGTGGCGGCTAGGGTTAGCCACGGGGGCAGGTGGAGGAGGCGAGCGTCAAATCGAGTTGGTGGAGGAGATAGGACGGATCGAGGATAACACAAAGGGGGCTGGGCGGAGCCAGAGACCGCCGGCAATGGCCGGAATCGGCCGGCGGCCGAGAGGTGGAGAGAGAGGGAGAGAGAGCGCTTGAGAGAGAGAGGCAGGCGAGAGCGACGAGAGGATGGGCTGCGTTTGTTTTTTTCCTGGCCAGTACACATCAGACTCTCGCTATTGGCTGTGCTGAACAGTACGTGTGATGAGGTGGCACGCGCGAGGATGCCCCATTTGGGCGACGCGTAATGGATTGTACTAGTGGTTGGGACGCCAACCCTGTGGTGCCTCTTTTTTTTAACATCAGTACAGACACAAGTGTTCAAATATACGCGCATACACAGGTAGTGAGCGCCCTTTTCAGTTGGTTGTAGCTTTAATTGATAGCACACATGCATGTATTTTTTAGGATTTTTTTGAATGAATGACGATAGCGCAAGCCAAATACATTAGAGCTAAAAGTATGTTAAACCTAGAGGACTATCTACCTGGTTACAAGGTGCAACCATTACACACTTGTCCAAAAGTGTATCAAACTCAGCAAATAAACAAGCAACCTTAACCCTGTATCTAGCACCTCTCCGTCATGTCGTTCAATTGCAGTCACAAGACTTGCCGCTGCAGAGCAGCTGCTCATCCGCGCCATCGTCGAGGCTCTCCGGGCCATACTCGTTCTGCTCGCCATCGTAGTAGTCCTCGATGCAGCCCATGTCCATTCGAGGGCATCACAGAAGAAGCAGTGGTCGTCGTTGTAGACGCCGGGGAGAGCAGGCGAAGGTTGTGCGCTCAAAGCACCACGAGTCGCAGCAGCCACCACATTACATGTGGTAATGTTCAACAACTTCCTCGTAAGGAGTACATCAGCACATATCTAGGAGATTATGTATCATCCCCTTAGCTTTGTTCTACAGAGAAATGCAAAAACAAATTATGATACATAAACAGACAAATATATTAAGCTAAGAAAAGTTTACAAGGAACAAATGACACAACATGCCTCAAGTCTAGGTACAGGTAGCGAATAAAGCGGTACACAACGAACAGTCAAGTATATCAATAAGGGGTAATAATATTTACCTGTATGACAATGGAATGTGCTGGTGTGTCAACGTATCTCTATATTCTCATCGTGTTAGATCAATGGAATGAACGAACTCAACATGATTGATCTAACAAAAAGGAATTCACTTAAAGTCCACATGATGAAATGGAAGAGATTAAAACGAAGCTGGACCAAAGTAATGAAGCCAAGGGAATATTAAGTTTTAATCGTACAACATACCATTTGATCAGCAAGCATGATACAGTTTTTACTTTTTAGAGACGACTTCCTGTTACAAAACCTGAAAAATCCTCAAGGCCTGGCCACGTTGTAATCATCATCTACACCAAAGCACATGAAATTTTGAATTCCAGCTGCCAAACAAAAGGGAATGTCAGTTGATTCCTTTGTGGATAAAAGAGAATGATGGACTAAGCAAGAGCAAGGAAGCGAAAAGAAAACACGTATATTGCTTCCTCCTTGGAAGTATTCTGTATAGCTTTGACTCATACAACAACTGTGGACGTTTTGTCTTAGATGTGATTGCCTAGCTAAATAGTCAATGTTCTTCCTCGCTCGTCTCAATCAAGAACACGAAGCAAATAAAATGTATAGATGTCAAAATAGAAATTACTTGTAACCTCAGTATGGTTCAATCAAACTATGGCTCCAATAAAAGAGAAGGAGTAGGCCTTACTGTGTATTCAGGCAAATCAAAGAAATAGATAATTTCTTGGCTAATAAAGTGGAACTCAACCAAGAATATAAAATAACCCAGAATTGTAGATGATGAAATACAAATTATGCACGTTTATTTATTTTGCACAGTAAAAATTATAGGCGAGCAGTTCGCTAATGCCAGAATAACATTGGGGAGAAGAAGCAGCTACATATCAAAACTGCTGGACGACTTTAGGCATAGAAGAAATGCAAAAAATTAGTGAGCATTGGCAGCAAACCAGGCAATGGAAGGGACAACCATATGTCACCTCCAGCAGTTTACTGTCAAGTTGCCAGAAGGATGCAACAGAAGCGGCAAGCAAGAGAACTTTGGAGGCACATGCAAAGTATTTGCTGCAGTAAACTATGTTAATCAAGAACATAATACTTCTTATCCAAACATTTAATGTACATGATTGTGCACGATATTTAAGAGTTAATACACCGTAGGGCAATTTCTAGTTCAGATCTCCGTAACTGTAGTTGATGTGTATAGTATACTAACCATTGTTTAGGCAAATGCCGGGAGGTCCATGAGAAGCCAGGTTCTACTTGATAAATATTCAAACAACAAACAACTCAATGTAGATAAAACTGAAAATCAAATTTAGTGAAACCTACAATAAAACAAATAGATATAAATAATTGAAGAGAAGCCAGTTGCCCATCCTGCTGGACGGAGCTAAAATATATCAAACAAAGGAGCTTACCTATGCCTTGGGACTGCTTGTTACTGCCATCGATGAA